CATCTTGAATGGGAGAAGGGAGTGGCGAAGCAAACTATGGCAAATGGATATGCTTATGGAAAGAATGCAGGATTAACAATCGAGAAAGAGTAGACTTGCTTAGATGGGAGCCTGTTTTGAACTCTAGCATGTCAATTTACACGTGAGCATTAAATAAACACAATGCATGGTCAACTCCGCACCAGAACATAAGTAGACATCCCAAATAAAACTTCATTTTATTTTTTTAACGAACCAGTTATTGTGCCTCCATTTTTCCCTTTAACTTCGTCTTTCTGCAAGCCTGAATTAGCCAAATAGATCATGGAATACCAACTTTATTAGGAATATTAATATCATCATTACGTACACCAATCATGGGATCACAAACTTTGACTTTAAGCAGTAGGAAGGAGTGCAAATGATCAGCATACTTGGCGTAGGATGGTTTATGCATATGATGATAGCTGCGACTGAAGATCAGACGAAATTTTAAGCCCGTTCCGAGACCCACTGGTCAAATGACTTCGTTTGAGCTACTATGGTATCAGAACCTATTCCCCCTTGGCCCACACTTGTTGAACTAACGAGGCATCTCGCCAGTACGACAGAGGCACGTCATGTACTCACTCATTTAAGCAACTTTACATGGCAGCTCTAATGAAGTCTGCCAAATGACATGCCAGAAGTTGTCCTTAACTTTACCGAAATATTAAACTACCTCAGAGCAACTGAGATTTATCTATGGATCTCCTCAATCAAACCCTTAAGAATCTAATTTTTACTTAAACACTAACATTTTTAAAATAAGCCCAATATCGAACAAAAGATTAACACGCGATCTGGGTCGAGTGTCCTGAGCGGTTAATGAGGTAAAGCCCTGCGAGGAGAGCATACTTTTATGTGATAACCTTCACTTTGAACACATAATTTAGTCTACTCGAATTAGTAAATACGGTGCGACAGCATGATCTGTCCTTTTTCGCTCTGATGACTCGTCAGGTGATTGCATGTCTCCTGTTTTATTCCGTAGCATTCGATATTGCATTTGGATGCTAATTTTAGTTCTTTAATTAGACATGCTCTGATGCAAGCGTCTTATTTTCCGTGGAGCTTGAATATTTTAACGGAAAAACGAATTATGATTCAGTAGTACTAATAGCATAAGAATGCCGAAACTGGTCTTAAAGTCAAGCAATTTCATTCTCTGACTTGATATCGCTTGGCTGATATTGACGATTATCCGATTCTAAATGAAGTTTGGTCATGATAGCCCAGCGTTCTGATGGGACAGATGCCTCTCGAGAGGTAATAATTTGTGAACTTCACTGACATCTGGAGGCCTCGTACTCATTTTATTTTGGGAGCTTAAAATTAGTCATATACAATGAAAGTTGTTTCTCGAGGAATCTTTGGGTTGACACTTTTTGTACCTATTTCTACTTCACGTATAAATGTTTGTTTATAGTGAAAATATGCAAAAAAAACAACTGGTTATTAAGCCAGAAGATCGAGGACAGCACTTATGCTTTATCCCAGTTAAGTTTAATTATCAAATGACCCGATGCCGAAAATCACGAAAACTGTGGCTGAGGACACAGGATTAGGCGTGTTCCACAAGGTCTCCCTGACGCTCCGACTAAGTTACGCAAACGAGTTCGAACCAACACTATAGAGCTAAAGGAGGCTGTTGCCAAACAGAAGGCCAGATCCTCTTGGTCTTCATATCTACGATCTAAGTACAACAGTAAGATTGCCACTCAGTGCATTGATTGCAGCAGATCAAAGGAAACAATCGTAAGTCAATCTTGTCATTTGGCCTTTTTTAACTGTTTTAAACGTGAGGCCTGGTCTTTGCAATTTGATGTGAAAATATAATTCCGATAAGGCAAATGCTATATTATATCAAGCTTCTTTACAAAAATTAGTTGAGACAGAATTGATAAAGGGGAAAATTATTTAAGTTTTTAGATATTAAAGCTAGACTCAGGCATGCTTTGAGTCAGATTCTCACCCCGGAAGATTTCATGAAAGTATAGAAGATGACAGACAAAATGTCAAAAATAATTCGGAATTGATAAAAACAGGCGCCGAAAGAGCTGAATAGATATGGGATCTATAGGCAGCCCAAGGTCCAATCACCTAACAAAATCGAAAATGACTCAAGCATGACGGATCTCACAGTCCAGACGAGAGAAGAAGATAAATTAATGAATCTTTCTTCCGTCCCTCATTTCCTGGAAATAACAAAGATCTTCCAGAAGCGACTATATTTTGCACTTCTGAATGAAAGGAAGGCACTCAAGAACGTTTTGGTGGATGTGATAAATACCTCTAAGAAATTGAGATCATCGCAACAATATTGTTTCATCAATAACCCAAGGATATGAACAATATAGCAAAGATATATAGAGAATTGAGAAAAAATGATCAAAGAGTCCTACAAGCTGACTAAATAGGTTCTATAGTGGTGATAGATAGGAAGGATTAGGCAGATAAAATGAAAAATATTCCAGTGGAAACTACAACTGATCGATTACTAACAAAAGACTCAACAGTTAAAATCAAAGGAGCACTGCAAGAATTGAGCAGGGAAATGGGCAAATGGACAATGATCAACTCATACGAAAGGATTCAAGAGCCCCAGTAGCACATTTTTTGCCTAAGGTACACAAAGAAGTAGAAAAATTGAAACTAATAGTCAACATCAAACGCAGACCAACTCATAAATTGACGAAATTTATCTGCCTTAAATTAAAGAAAGTTAATGATATATTATTGAATACGGTGAAGAATTCAAACTAATTTTGCCAGTTTGGAAGTAAACGATCTTTTGGCGAGTTTTGATGCACAATCCGTGTACACTAACATCACAGAGGAAAAAGCACTAACAACACTATTGGAGATCTTGGAAAAAGAAGATGACACTCTGGAGACGAAGGGAATCCATAAAGAGTCTAACCCTATTAATCAACCTAACAATAATAACGACCTATTTCACTTTCAACTGCCACATCTATGGGTAAATATTTGGTCTGTATATGGGCTCATTACTCACCTATATTGGTTAATGTCTACATGGACAAGTTAGAGGATTATTTTAAAACATCACCTCAGCAGCCAACAGTAATTATGCGATATTTCTATGAATACTTCGCAATCTGGACACATGTAAAAGAAAAAGTAGGCGATTTCCTGATCCTCTAAAATGAAATGGATAAAAAAGTCAAATTTACGTTGGCTGTGGAAGAGAACGGATACTTAGCTTTTTTGTATGTGGAGGTCACTCTTTCCAAAGTTACTCTCAAAAAATGAATTTTCCGAAAGGAATCGCATGCTGGAATAACTCTTAGCATCTAGTCGAACCATACTTATGGAATGAAAGTTGGAATACTCCGGAATATTGTCATAAGGAGTCTGCGACTTACTGATTCTGCGTTCTGGTGTGAGGAACTGGAAAAAATAACTCATATGTTTCTTGTAAACGGATATCCAGAAGAGGCAATAGAATGTAACATACGGATGGTGATGAACATATGGACGGATGGAGAATATGAAATAAAATCAAGAGGAACAGAGAAAAAACGATGGATATGTCTACCCTATTGCGAATTGGCTCGGAAGCTACAGCCAATACTAGGGAAATGGAACATTCGTACAATCCGGAAAGAAAGGCGAACCCTCTTTACCAGCATGCCTAACCGACATGAAGAAGTCAACAAAATGGAGTGCTTCGGAGTTCACAACATAAACTGCAAGAGTGTGAACAAAAATAGATCAGAGAGACAGGAAGGACAATCAGCACAAGAACCTAAGAATACCAGCGAATATGCAGAAAAAGGGATACGGAAAGATCGACGATAGCTAAACACATCACTTCAACCAGTCACAATTTTCTGAAATGCAACGGAAAGATTGGCCCTACATTGGAAAAGCAATTGGAAACGGAAGATCAGAAAGGCTATGAACACTCTTTTCCAAATAAACCTGGTGAACTGGAGATTAGAAGAGGGAATAGGCAGACTTGGAGATCCAGCGAAGACACCAGAAAGAAGACGCTTGGACCCAGGACAACTGTTCAACAACAGGAAGAGACATCACCAAGGGCCCGATCATGAGGGACAAAGGGAAGTCAAGAAAAGGCGACTACAGTGAGAAGAATCAAACGTGGAATCGGTCAAAAATTTATCCATATGGAGGAATGTGGGATGTGGAATAGGAAATTAAAGGTTTAAGGTATAGATGGGCCAAACGTAGGTAACCAGTGTATGTGTGTGTGTGTGTGTGTGTGTGTGTGTGGATGCTGGTGGGCATTTTTCGTGTGTGTCTTAAGGGGAGACGACTGGCGACATGCTTGACCACGGGAGATATAGGCCAATACACACCCATATGAATTTCATAGTACCCTAGGATTAGACGAGAGTATATGAGTAGAAAATTTGGGTTTCGAGGATTCTCTTATTCCATAATTGTTAAGCTTACTTCCATTTCAAGTGAAAGTGTTTGGTGAAATGATTCGAAGGCCGATTCAACTAGAAGACGACAGCATATTCCTCTTGACCAGCTGTCGAATGGCTTCACTGGAACATTCATGTTGACGCTGTTTCCGAGGCAATCACCTTCGATTCCGGTGAAAACGTGCTAAGCTTTTGTCCATTATATGACGAACCTCATCAGAGCACAACAACATCATCAGTGCATGAAAACCAAATTCAAGCCAATAAGTCAAGGAAACTCACAAGTCTTTTCTTGTATTGGTTCTATTCATATTCACTTCTCTGTACTTTTAGCCCACTCTTTCTCTCTCATATGAAGACAAAAAAAGGCTCATCTATATAACTAGACGTGTGTCCGACCTTACGCAATCGAAGGAAGTTACCTCGGAAACAGCATCACCATGAATGTTCCAGCAAGGCCAATCGACAACTGGTCAAGAGAAATCCGCCGTCGTCTTCTGGTTGAATCGACTTTCGAATCTCTTCCCCAAACACTTTCACTCGAACTGGAAGTAAGCTCAACAATTAGACGGGACTGTCAACTTGAAGGTCGAGAGGAGTGTGTTTTTTGCGATTTAAGGGGAAAAATGGACGCGGGGCATCTTCACACCAGCAGTTACGACGTAAGCCGGACAGAGGGCCCCAAACAATGAGATACAATGAGGGTGGGGATGAGAAAGAAGATAACCGAGTCATAGGGAGGGGAAGATTCACAGGCACTGACATGGACATTGGCATCATCTGCTCTAAATTCTCGAATATGGCGAAATCGAGGACGAGATTTGATGGCTCTTGGGCGGCTAGATTTAAGACAGCCAAACAGTGATTTTGATTTCTCGTATTTAAGTAGAGTTTCAGTAATATAAGCTGTGTTCACCCTATTGCTCTTAAGGTTATGAAGGACTGGTAGTCGAATTTTCCCATATGAGTAGAGGTAATTTTTTACATTAAATTTCCCAAAAGATGTTCTTATTTAAGATGGACTGCATTTTCTACCTCGCATAGGTCTTATCAACGCCCCATGACAGTGCAGCGTGTAATCTCGACACGTCAACCACTCCGCCGCATTGCCACGAGTGCAATTGGGTCACAGAGTAGATGTGAATTTCAAGCAATGTCAGGCATTTTCCATATCGCATTCTGTGCTGGGACTGTCGATGAAGCAAACTTATATTTGCTATAGTAATCGACGACATTACTTTTTTCGTGAAAGCAAGGCTATGTGAAATTCAATGAAAAATATCAGCTCTACTCATATCATTGTGGGAAAATTCAACTACCAATCCTTCATCATACTAAACGAAATGGGGTGAACACAACTCATATAGTGATTTTGATGTTTACCAGCGACCAATTGACAAGCGGGTTGGAAGGGGGGCTAAATGAAAGTCAGTAGCTCTGCAAACGGATTCTGGAGCCGGTGTTGAGGATGATTATGCCTCACTAAATCACTTGTAGCGACACCCTATTAGGCGAAATTGAAGAAAGCCAGAGCACATAATTGTGTTAATAGATAGATGGAATAGATGAAAAGAGATACAGCACTAGAGGGTAGAACAAAAAATAAGGGTGAGGAGTGGTGCCACAATAGTTGAACAGAAAATTGGTCAGGAGGATTGCCTTCATTTGTCACTTGCATAAGTTGTAACTATTTGCTGACGAGCTGGCGAAACGCTTGGAAATGTATCAAGAAAAACAGTCCAATGCTGGAAATCATCATGAATATTATTGCAAAGTATACAGGACTAGGTATGTTCCACAAGGTCTCCCTGACACTCAGACTAAGTTGAAAAAACAAGGTTGATCGAACACTATTAAGCTGAGGAGACTGCGATCAAACAGAAGGTCACACCATCTTGATCTTCATATCTACGATTTAACGATGCAAGTTGTTTTCATGCCCCTACATACACATACACATACACGTACATATGCGGATTTTATAGTGGCATATTACATTGACTAACCAAATCTCTATATACCTCACAAAATCCCTATGTTAAGAGTGTATATTTACGCCATGTAAGAAGAAGTAACTTGAATTAGTTGTAAAAATGATGCAAGTGGTACGACAAACGGAAACTGAGTCAACTTTCACTAGAACTAAAAGATATTGTCTCGACCCCCAGCCACCGCTGTCCTTGTATAATGAGATCGACCCATGTGTCCTTTCAACAAGCGATTTCACTCAATTTCACACCTTCAGCCCTGACATCACCCTAAACGCCCGAGATGATTCGAATTTTTATTCAAGCTCACAGCCTACTCACTCGATATAACCAGCAACCTTCCCACTCGAGTAAGTCACCTCTGCTCTGTGACCCATTGGTACCCGTGGCTGTCAAGCGAAGTGGTAATTTTTCCACTTGACGATCGTGACCCGACTTCAAATCTCATTATGGTGTTGGTAAGACCCAATCACTGTTAAATCTGGTGAGCAGAACCCTTTAGAAGGCAAAGTTAAATGAAATACAATAATTATATTTTGAAGTATTCTTTTTGATTAATTGAAGGCACTTCAACTGCAAATCTTTCCATCATCCTTAGCGACCTAAGCTGGTCCTGGTTCTTATTCAAAATTTTCTGATAGGAATAAAAAGGTCCTGGTTAATCAATTACCCTGTTGGTTTCTAAAATGTACCTTACTCTTGTTTTCTAGCCCATTTCTACCCCCAAATTCTACCCTTAAAAGTGCAGTTCATTGGCCAAGTTTTCTGCTTGATGACATCTTTCGTTGCCGGTATTTGCGTATGCATCTACGTCTCGTCTCCTTTTTTCTCTCTCTTTTTCTTTCTAAGCATTCTTTGAAAGATATCCAGAACATTCTGTGTCTGGTATCAAATCAAGCGACCAGCATATTTCCAGGCAAAGAAAGACAGAAGCCAAAAAAGTCATTTATATATTTTAACCTCTTGAGCAGCTGCGTCTCTCAATTCACATTTCCTCTCATTTACTCGTCCAGACTTTGTTTACTTTGTACAACCTTTTGCGTTGATCTCACCACTCTCTTCTCAATCTGGGCTCTGTTCCACCAACCGACGCAATTGTAGGGCACCTCACAGAAACACTATCACATACCCTCAAGACGCGATGGCCCTATCGATTCTACGATACCCTCCAGCCATCCTACAACGCTTTGGCGTATATACATTTTAGACCGCTTGAGCATAGGCTCCACGGTTCACTGATATTTAGGGCTTGCTACATTTACGGCGTGACTCCCTCAATTGCCCTTATTCTGGAATTTAACATTACTACAAAAAGACCCTATCTGGCAACTCTTGTCAATTAACAAAAGTTGTGGCTTTATAGTCTCCATTGCTCGAGTAGGCAGATTTAGAAATTTTCAATATATTATGAAAATAGAAGTGAGATCTTTGTCCATTTTTCTGTCGTTGGAGTCGGGTCGAGCATTTAGTTGGAATGCCGAAAAAATTAAGAAATTCAATGAGTTGAGTTAAGTTTCAGAACGTTAATGAGGGAGAATTGTTAT